CGCCGCACCAGTGGTGCTCTGAATGGAGCACTCCATTTTCACACTGGGTGGGGGGACTACCTGAAGTTAGCGACGCCTTGCATCAAAGCTGAACAGTGTCGCGGTGAACCGAACAGACCCGTTTGCCGCTGCTTACATGCCCCTGCATCTGATCGGCGCTGCCATGGGACCGGGCAGTGTAAACCATATGCCTGCTTTTGTCCGCTTGGTGTATCGTTCATACTTGGCGGGATGAATTCCTGTCGGTGATGAGCTCTTGAATCACGTAAAGCCGTAAGTACCTTGCTGTTTTTCCCGAACGACATCCTCCATTCAGTTGCCGAGTTTTGCGCCTCACATGCCTTACGTGCCCTCCCTCCCCAGCGTGGTCTTGGCCGCCTTCCCAGCCCTCTCCTCCCGTCTCTCAAAGTGGTTCTGAGCTCGTCCCGTCGCCTGGCAACAGGCAGTTAGCGTTGCAAACGTTCCTCCGGCCGACAGCAGACCGGCCCGGCCCGCCTCCACGACCGAGCTGGAGCTGGGCAGACCGCTGGGCTCCAGCCGCTCCCAACAACACGACGCTTTCGGGCGTCGACAGCGCCTCTGACCGAGGGCATCACGCTTATGGAATGTGGCGACAGTAATATTCTGTTGGGTGCAGCGCTACATGACAAAATGATTACTTGGTTCCCATCCGCGACGCGGTCGAGGCTGAAGAAGTCTCCGAAGCACATGCAGAATCCGCTGTGACCTGAGCAAGACCCCAGGGTACGGACACTTCTGCCGTGACCTGAACAAGCCCCCGGGCACCAATACTGCCGTTGTGACCTGAACAAGCCTCCAGGGCATGGACACAGCTGCTATGACCTAAACAAGCATCCAAGGCACGGACTTGCTGCTGTGATTTGAACAAATCCCCGGGGCACGGGCACTACTTCTGTGACCTGAACAAGCCCCCCAGGGCAGGGACATGCCGCTGTTGTGACCTGACGTTATCTCCAGCCGGCTCTCCAGTCGGGCCGGGCGGCGCCCAGTGCCTGTTGTTTACGGCCGGCCGGCCCGTGCGCCGTCGGGTTTCACTGGCGCTCGGCCTGGCAGGCCGGCGGCCCGCCCCCGCCCGCCCAGCGGCCGCGGCCGCCCGCCCCGCGAGCGAGCACCTGGCAGTGGCACTGGCCAGTGGCCGGCGGCACGCCGCCTCTGAGACGGCAGGCCGCGCGGCGGCCGTGGCAAGGTCGCCGCCCACTCGCGTCCTGTCACGAATCGACCCCAGCCGGACTTCGACGACAGGTCAGGGTGTTTTAGCCGGCGAGCAGGTTTCGGATCAGGGGAGGGGTCACCCTCCCCTCGGGTCCGGTGAACGGGTTAAGGTCGCTCCCCCGAAACTGTTGCCGACCGCGTCGGTGCCGGTGAGCTGATGCACAACCGAGTTAGCTGCCAAACGTCCGTGCAGCGGCACCGTCGAACACCACTAGTGGAGAGACGGAGACGTGGCTGCGGTCGATCCATGGCCAATGACTGTTACTAGTCTGTCACCAGCCGATTACAAACTGTCAGTGGGGCACATCCCCGCTCGGCTGTCGCGGCTGCGTCTGTCACCAGCCGATTACAAACTGTCAGCGGGCACATCCCCGCTCGGCTGTCGCGGCTGCGTCTGTCACCAGCCGATTACAAGCTGTCAGCGGGCACATCCCCGCTCGCCTGTCAGTGGGGCACATCCCCGCTCGCCTGTCAGCGGGGCACATCCCTGCTCGCCTGTCGCGGCCGCAGTCAGGCAGATACACACACGGCTATTTGCTCCCACTTGCTTCCAGACGGCTGCAAGACGCCTCCAACTGAATGGCTCGAATAAAGCCCGACCGTGCCGCGATGCTCTGTGCTTGCAAGAGCGCCGGGGGTGATGTGTTGCTTCTTTCATTCTGTCTGAACCGCTAGCCGCCGCCCTGTCTAGACCTCCACCACCGCCCTGTCCAGACCATCGCTGGTCTGTCTGGACCATCACCGCCAGTCTGTCTGCACCACCGTCTCCGCCCTGTCTGAACTGCCGCTGCCACCCTGTCTGGGCCGCCGTTGTCACCCTGTCTGGACCGCCGTCGCCGCCCTGTCTGGACCTCCGTTGCCGCCCTGTCTGGACCGCCATCTCCGTCCTGTCTGGACCGCCGTCGCCGTCCTGTCTTGAGCGCCTCGCCGCCCTGTCTGGACCTCTGTTGCTGCCCTGTCTGGACCGCCGTAGCCGCCCTGTCTCGACCGCCGTCACCGCCCTGTCTTGACCGCGTCGCCGCCCTGTCTGGACCTCTGTTGCCGCCCTGTCTGGACCGCCGTAGCCGCCCTGTCTGGAGCTCCCGCCTGGTGGGGCGATGGCCTCCGCTCAGGGCCGTGCAGAGTGCAGCGGGGGGAGTGTCGTCCGACCCACGCCAAATTAGCGACCGGCGTCGTGTTCAATCACAGGGCGCAATGACGTCGGCTGTATTCACAATGAATGCAGAGATAAGAGTACAAAGGCGGGTCTGGTCGGCCACAGTCTGCTCGATAGGGCCAGATAAGAGCCTCAAGTGGAAATTGCACACTACATGCGAAGGCTGAGGAGACACGGCTGCAACTGGAGCCGGCGCTCCGGGACGAAACGACCGCACAGCGGCCTCGCACACGCGCACCACGAGCACGAGCGTGATTACGGTCACGCGTCATGCCGTCACACACGCGCTCCGGCGGACCAGAGCGCACGTCACAGGCTCGAGTCCACCATCCTCCTGTTTTCCTCGTGTCACACGCACCAACAGTCTCGTGCATAGTACCAGCCTTCGCGACCGCGCACTGAAAAGCGGCCCGGCCAGTCACGGCCGTCCTCGCCGCGTGGTGTCACGCCCCCATAAATCAGGCGATCATCGCGAGCCCCACTCACGTCCCTCGCCGCCGACCACGCGTCGGTCCCTCAAAGCCCCAAAATCACAGCAGGAGTTGATCTCATGGCCAGCAACGGCCCGGACCTGAGGCCAGTGGCCTTCGGATGCCATTCAAGATCAATCGCAGACATCGTCAGCCAAGCCGCGGCCAGCACGGCTATCACACACTAGTGGCAGGCACGGATTCACGACGAGATATCGTGCACGGCGTCCACGTCGCGAGCCCCCAGCAGCTTTTACAACCTACGTGTTGGCACGAGCACGGTCCTAATGATTGCTCCAGCAGTCTCCAGAATGCACATATCGACACTAACATGACCCCATTGCTCTTAGCAGCCTCTACAGCGCGCGTGTTGACGCAGACATGACCCCACAATGAAGAATCGGGGCAGGGCGCCAGCCTGCACAATGAAAGAAGCTACCGGCATGCGCTGACAGAGAGTGCCGCCGCCGCTTTTGGACGTGACCGGTCAGGGGCCGCCAGACGCTGCAGCCGAGCCCGACAAATGGCCAGGCGAGCCCTGCACAGGTGCGCCTGCCTTCTGCAGCAGCGGCACCATTAGCCCTGCACTGCTGAGGCCGGGTAATGGTCTCCGGCGAGGCGGGCCTGCACGGCCGGCCGTGCGACAGCGGTTGCGGAGGCGGTGGCAGGAGGACGGCGCCACACCGGCTGCCGCTGCAGCAGCAGGTGTACGGGGGAGGGAGGGGCGCATCCGCGGCTCACGACTGCACGGAGCGGCACGGGAGGAGCGGCGCGGGTTCGGGGGGCGTGCAGCCGGCTCCCTCCGACCAGCTGTGTGTGTTGCCATGCCGGTGCAAGGGCTGTTGGCAGATGAGTCGACAAGCTGGCTGGGAAAGAAAGGTCAAACATCCAGGAGCCCGGCCACTCACGCTATAGCTTTTTCCGGGGGATAATTAATGCAGAGAGCATCAGCGCAGCCTGCCCTTCACCATCAGTCGTATCACTGTTAGTGCCGCATCCGCCGCCGGCTCATATTACTAGCCTGCACCAACGTCCGTCTAGATCATATGTTCACTGAGGGATGGCAGCAGAACAGAGTCGCTGAGAGTCTCCCGCTTCTCGCACGGTGGCAGTGAATACGGAAAGGTCGCCCGCGCCAGCGGGACCGTTTGGCACGGAACGCCGATACATGACGTCACAGGTGCAGGCTGTACACGAGGTGACCTTACAATAAACCACGGGCTGGGCAGTGTGCAGCGACGTATTCATGGCTTTGCTGCGCTGCCCTGGGTGCAGTGCACTTCTGAGGCAGACTGGAACTATGTTGAACTCGTTTCATGTTTATGTTCGCAGCGCTGTGTCCGATGTTTAAAAACCTCTGACGGATAATCACCCCTAGAACTTGCGCGAGTACGACAACGGCCGGCTAGTCAGCCTGTCATGAGAACATAAGGCCAGACGATAACTGAGGGCTGTTTGGAGCATCAAAGGTGCCAAACATAGGCCGCGGGCACTATTCATGAACATAATCAATGGCGTGATGCGTGAAGTGATCTTTTTTTAAATAGCCGTCCATCCAATATTTATTTTTCGGACGTCTTCTGTCAGCTGTTCATTCTTCCAAATGTTCCTGCTTTGGCCGTGATCGTGCAAAGACTTGGGAGACAGGAACGTACCTCCTTGCCTCAAATAAGTTGTGACATCCACACTCAACGATTTTCCATTCCGCGGTTTTGGACTGATGCAGGAGGCTAACGGCTATCGATGCCGTGCCAGTCTTTGGCCGTCTGACACGGTTGTCTACGGAACCAGTGACTGACCAGCCGGTGAGAATGACCCATCACTGGGTCCAGCCGCGGATGCGGTGACGTTCGCTAGTATAGCACATCATTAGCCCAGCCGCCGGCGCGATGATGGGTCACCGCCCCCAGCCACGGGCGTGATGACAGATCACCGCCCCAGCCGCGGGCGTGGTGACAGGTCACCACCTCAACAACGGGCGTGGTGACAGATCACCGCCCCAGCCGCGGGCGTGGTGACGGGTCACCGCCCCAGCCGCGGGCGGGGGTGACGGGTCACCGCCCCAGCCGCGGGCGGGGTGACGGGTCACCGCCCCAGCCGCGGGCGTAATGACCTGGCACCGCCCCAGCCGCGGGCGTAATGACCTGGCACCGCCCCAGCCGCGGGCCCTGTAACGGATCACCGCCCCGGCCGCAGGTGTCGTGACCCGTCAGTGGACCCGGTTGTGGCAGCGGCAGGTGGCGCGGCAGGCGCGGGCCGGTTTACCGCGCGTCCGGCACGTCCAGTTTCTGTCCAGCCGGCGCAGCTGGGCACAGTTGCTCCAACGATCCGACCACGGGCACGAGTTGGTGCACAGCCGCTTCTTGCTGTTGCAGGAGCGCCGGCAGCGACTGCAGGGCCGGCCTGGCTGGTACGGCCGACCCAGACGCTCCACGTAGTTGCCGCTGTCGGTCACGTGGGCCGGTCACGTGGGGTGGGGTGGGGGGGGGGGCTGTCATGGGGATAGCGGGATCAGGTCAAAGGTGCTGAACTGGGATTGGTGTCGCCAGGTCAGGAGCGCTACATGGGGCGGGGAGTTGCATGGGGGCGATGCGGTCACAACAGCGCGTGGAGTGGTCAGCTGTCTCACGATAGATGGCATGATCTGGTTAAGGATCGCTCGAGGGTTTGTTGTTGAACCGAAAACGAATGGCGAATGAATAAAGCAAACATTTGCAAACACCGTGGTCGTTTTCATCTGCTATTTTGCAGGTTAAGTTATGGTTAAATATACCATCCATTTATGAGTTTCTAACCCAATGCCCTCGTGGCACAGGGCTGAAGGCTGGCAGCAGTTTCTTCACCACCCGTAAAACATCAGCTGATCACCTTTTGTTCCGCATATGGTTGCCGAATACCTGACGATATCGTCAGTTGTGAGCTGTGGCGTAGTAGATAACGAATGAATGGGCGACAGCCTGAAACATCTGTCAGTGAGTTGCACTCACGTGGGGCAGTAGTTGCAGACGTAGTTGTAGTACGGAGTGGGCTTGGCGTTCTTGCAGAAGGTCCATGCGCACCCCACCTTATGCGTGGAGTACCATACCATCTGGGTGTAGTGACCGACTTCCGTAAGGTTGTTCTTGCTTGAACCGAACCGGAAGATGTCCTTCTCCAAGAACCAGCTCTTAATGGCAAAGTACCTGTAGTTGCAGGCAGAAAGCGTTGGGAAAATCGTGTGTTAGGTGTTCCGGAGCTTCGTAAATTATTGAAACAAGTGCGCTGGCTCCGAGTGTATCGTATCCAGCTCGTTACAAAATCACCAGTCCAGCTGTTAACAATCGTCTGGCCCCGTGTGGTCTCAAGCGGTCCTGTACAGCCATGGCATTTGCCGTCGCGTTCTAGGACAACAGGACGTCAAGCCGTAATCCGTTTTCACTTCTGGCAGTTACCATTAGTTGTAGTCAGATTAGGTCCATATGAATAAAGCATGTGCACTTTCACTGCTTCGAGGAACATGAAGACAAAAAAGAAGAGCGGAGAAAAGGACCAAAAGTAAAGCAAATACATACCACGGCACTTTGTGCGTTGAGACGAAGATGTTCTGGCCGCAAGCACCGAAGTTCTGTTGCCACCTGCCCGTATCATTGGCGTGTACCAACAGCTGGCATTCCTCAGCCCATACCTGGGCGTCCTTGGCGGCACCCCTGTGCCAGCTCTGGAGGTGACAGAAGGCGCCAGCTCACTATACACACGCATACCGGCGGGTAACTCGTGGGGCTCCGTGAGCTGTCTGGAAAGGCGACGCGAGACGCAGGGCGCCATGTGCTCTTACATACAACAGGGTTCGTAGAATATGTGTTCACGACGCTTCGCCGCCGCTGAGATTATTCGCAACAGCGTCAAGGGGCGACATTATTGTGCATAGCTTGTCATGTTTTTCCCTTTGCACCAACGGGCGTAATAACACACAAGACCAATAGGCAAGGCTCGAGGGACCTTCCAGACCACCTCAAATTGTGCCCGACATAGTTTTAAATGTAAGGTGAAGGACTGTGCTGTGCCATCAATTCTCAGTTCCCCGTCAGCTTGCGCTGTGCGCTGTGCTGTGCCACCTCTCATGTCTTCCTGAAATCCCATCAATAAGCCCATGTCCCGTCACCGAGCCGCCCGCCCGCACGGGTATCCGGTAATGACTCTGACCTCCCTGCCTGCGCCGCCCGGGGCCTTCCGCCGCGCCGCCTCGCGGCAAAGAGTTGTCCCGGCCCGTATTGGGAGCGGCAGCCTTCGGGGTCGCGGCGCTGGTGACCCCGACGGCGGCCGCTTGGGCAACAGCGGGAAGCGCGCGCGTCAGCAGCGCCCACGTATAAGGCGTCAGCGGTGCTGCGTCAGACGGGCGACGAGCCGTCTCCGCCGGCGTGGTGCTGACCCCGGGCGAGGTCACCGGCGGCGAAGCTCCACCGGTCCGGCCTGGCCGCCGACGGCACCGCCGAGGCCGCCGGATCCGACGGCGTGGCGGCGGCAGAGCTGGTGCCTGCTGCGGCTTCAGGTTTGCGTGGCGCCGGGGCAGAGGTGTGCAAGGTGTTGGCCCCGACAGGAGGGACGCCATCGCTCGTGCCGTGTGTATTCCCGGGTACTGGTCCGTTCGAGCAGCAGGTACTGCTAGAGTCGGCAGCAGGCGTGCCGGGCGGATTCCCGGGTACTGTTCCGTTCGAGCAGCAGGTACTGTTAGAATCGGCAGCAGGCGTGCCGGGCGGATTCCCGGGTACTGTTCCGTTCGAGCAGCAGGTACTGTTAGAGTCGGCAGCAGGCGTGCCGGGCGGATTCCCGGGTACTGTTCCGTTCGAGCAGCAGGTACTGCTAGAGTTGGCAGCAGGCGTGCCGGGCGGATTCCCGGGTACTGTTCCGATCGAGCAGCAGGTACTGTTAGAGTCGGCAGCAGGCGTGCCGTGCGAATTCCCGGGTACTGTTCCGTTCGAGCAGCAGGTACTGCTAGAGTCGGCAGCAGGCCCGTCGCTAAGCCCGCTGATAACTCCATTCACCACAGACGACTCTAAAAACGCTGACGCTGTCGGTAGCACCTCGTTAATTGGGCCACTTGCACAGAAGCTTGCACGTCGGTCGAGCGTGGCGTGCACGGGCTGGTGATCGCGATACATTGACGCGGCCGAGGTGGCGCTGCTCTGTCGTTGTATTTGGCGTGTCTGACTGATTGTGGGCCTGACAAGTGCAAGCGTCCATGTTTACGTCCGACAGCGGAGCTTTTAGCGGTGTCGGTGCCAAATGCAAGTGGCAGGCTTGGCGGATGTCCAGAAAGTTAGGCGCCTGTTTTGTCACCATGCCGACAAAACCCCGATGTGCGAATAGAGTAAATTTGCATGCAGTGACAAAATGTAGGCTGCAGCAGTATATTTGTATCGTCTCAGGGTCATCTCATTTCATTTCTAATACTCATCATCACAGCCATGCCGAGAATTCGCGCAAAAATGAGTCCCGAGGCGCGGTTTATAATGGTATTTCCAGGAGGGGACCCGTTGCCAACGGACATAGCTCCCCGTCATCAGGTCTGGGGCGGATCTCCCCGCTGAATTGAGGCGTGCTTTGCGAGCCACTTGGGCTGCCCATTTCGAGCTGGCGGAAGTTTGTCTCTAACGAAGCCCGTGCATGAGCGTGAGCTGCTCCGACACTTCTGCTGATCATCCCGACCGGCTCCTTCAGTCAATACAAATGACTCGGCGGCCTGGAGTCTCGACACCATTTGTTGCCAGCCGCGCGGCTTCTTTCACCAGCTGGCGGCAGACCGCCGGTCAGGGGGCGGGGGCGGGGGGGGGGGGGTCGGCTGCTGACAGCGGGTAACACCGGCGCCATTGTATGCAACAGCGGCCGAACCGGGCTCCGGTCGCCGCACTGACGGCGTCGAGTGCCCCACATCGGCAGGAGCTCAGGTGTAGCGGCAGCGGCCAACAGGGGGCAGCAAGGATTGCCTGTCCCCATCTTTGAAGAAGGCCATCACTAAACTCACGGTGTTCCATGGACAGAAACGAGGCAAAAGCCGCGTCTGGATGTCCCGGCCCGTTCAGCTGCTGGGACCATGCGCCGCTGCTGAGCAAGGGACGCCAGGCGAGCGTTAGACACGCCCCGGCCGCCGTCCGGGCAGCCTGCAACAGCGTGGCGTCCACTGCCCTGCACGGCAGCACGGCCGCGACCGGAGACGGCCGGTGGACACGGCCGGGCGTGCTGGACCCTGCGACCCCTGCCCCTCTTGCTCCCGGCCCCCTACCTAACTCCTGCTTCTCCCTGCGTCTACCCCTGTCCTTGTCTTTCCCTGTCCCTGTCCCTTCCTGGCCCCACCCCCTATCGGTCCGTACCCCTTGCCCCTCACTGCTCCCACTTCTTCTTGCTCCGTTCCCCCCCCCCCGCCGCTCCCTGAACCCGTCCCCTGTCCACCTCCCTGCTCCCTCCCATCCCCTCCCTGTCCTTGCCCCAGGACCGATCGGAGGTGGTCGAGACAAAGCCGCTTATCTAATGCATTGGACGAGGGCCAACAATCACGTCAAACTCCAAGTCTGACTGTGCCAGGCCTAGATAGCTCCTAGTGAGAGCACTTCAAGCACCATAGAGGCCATCTGAACATCGTGTGCAGTCCTGAATACACCGTAACATAAGGGTATTCGATATTTTGGTGACCACCCACTGTGACAGTGCCGGGACATCCGCTATGAGCCCCACCACAACGGCGCCGGCCATCCCACCTGCCAGCGCCAGCATAGTGGTGGTAAGACCAGACCTTTACCCACCGGCACTGACGTCTGCCAGCGCCAGCATAGTGGTGGTAAGACCAGACCTTTACCCACCAGCACTGACGTCTGCCAGCGCCAGCATAATGGTGGTAAGACCAGACCTTTACCCACCAGCACTGACGTCTGCCAGCGCCGGCATAGTGGTGGTAAGACCAGACCTTTACCCACCAGCACTGACGTCTGCCAGCGCCAGCATAGTCGTGGTAAGACTAGACCTCTACCCACCAGCACTGACGTCTGCCAGCGCCAGCATAGTGGTGGTAAGACTAGACCTCTACCCACCAGCACTGACGTCTGCCAGCGCCGGAATAGTGGTGGTAAGACCAGACCTCTACCCACCAGCACTGACGTCTGCCAGCGCCAGCATAATGGTGGTAAGACCAGACCTTCACCCACCAGCACTGACGTCTGCCAGCGCCAGCATAGTGGTGGTAAGACTAGACCTCTACCCACCAGCACTGACGTCTGCCAGCGCCAGCATAGTGGTGGTAAGACCAGACCTTTACCCACCAGCACTGACGTGCCCTGGCGAGTCTCCACCTGCCAGTACTACCGTCACATTATATACGTCCCTGCTCCTACCGGAGCGATGATGCCACATCACCTCCACCCACGTACACCTCCATGTGTCGCTGCCCGTGTCCATCCCCCGGCGCTAGCAGGGCACAAGGGGGCCAGCACTCACCATCTTGAGCATGTTGGCGGCGCGGGGCTTCACGCGGCTCCTGAAGCGGTTGTGGAAGTGTGTCAGCTTGCGCTGCACCTTCGGCGAGCGGGCGTCCAGCTGCCAGCCGGCCACCTTGTCACCAAAGAGTTTGGGCGCTGGAACAGGGGGCAATCGCGTGAGAGAGCCGCGCGGCTCGGCTTCGGTGACCGGGTCTGGGTGAACGTCTCCACAGCGGAGCGGGAGGCGCCGCGTGAGGGAGCTGTGCGGCTTGGCTTCGGTGACCGGGTCTGGGTGAGCGTCTCCACAACGGAACGGGAGGCGCCGCGTGAGGGAGCTGGGCGGCTTGGCTTCGGTGACCGGGTCTGGGTGAGCGTCTTTACAGCGGAACGAGAGGCGCCGCCAGAGACGGGGGTACCGTGACGGGGATACCATCAATGTGAAAAATGCTCTCAATGCAGCTAAACTGCGCTGGTCGGAAAAAAATGTGTGAGCGGCTCTTCTCATTAAATTTTCACTCTGTTGGCTTCTGAAGCTCTTCAGAAACACATAACACATAACATATCTAGATGTTATGTGTTTTGCCAGCGGTAAATAGGGCAATAGTACAGTCATTTGTCTATTGTTGCTAACACTGTAATAGTGACGTCAACCGAATACAGCTGAACACCGAGGACTGCGGGTAACGCAGCGGTCGCCAGGAGGCAGTCAACCGAACACAACTGAACACCGAGGACTGCGGGTGACGCAGCGACTGACGGGAGGCAGTCAACCGAACACAACTGAACACCGAGGACTGCGGGCGACGCAGCGACTAACGGGAGGCAGTCAACCGAACACAACTGGACACCGAGGACCGCGGGTGACGCAGCGGTCGCCAGGATGCAGTCAACCGAACACAACTGAACACCGAGGACTGCGGGTGACGCAGCGGTCGCCAGGAGGCAGTCAACCGAACACAACTGAACACCGAGGACTGCGGGTGACGCAGCGACTGACGGGAGGCAGTCAACCGAACACAACTGAACACCGAGGACTGCGGGTAACGCAGCGGTCGCCAGGAGGCAGTTAACCAAACACAACTGAACACCGAGGACTGCGGGTGACGCAGCGGTCGCCAGGAGGCAGTCAACCGAACACAACTGGACACCGAGGACTGCGGGTGACGCAGCGGCCGCCAGGAGAAGGCTAGTGTTTTGTGTACAAGAGACGGCTAGTGTAGGCGAGTTCATGCTCATGACGGCTTCTGTGACGCTGTCACCGCTGATGGGTTCTTTCGCAGATCTGTCCAAGATTGCAAGACCTGACTAAGCAGGCTGGGTGACGACAGAGGGCAACGTGTAATGGACATCAGTGTGAAGTGTGCACTGCTTAAGAAATGCATGACTTTCCATGAATCATGTTGTTTGACAACGCGGTGATGAAAGGAAGCGGCAGAATATTCAAATTTAATATATCAACTGAGACTTAAGAAACACAAAAACAGACTTTCACAGTTTTCGGTTCAAATAAATGGGGGCACATTTGATGTGATATGAAGCCTAGTCGTCTACCTGCCTTGAATCACGCGCATAGAGCTTTATCTCTACCCGACCCTCCGGCGGCTGAGAGATCCAGCACGACCCAGCAGCTGATGTCAGCAGCATTGCCGGACATTACAGACGCTCTCAGATGGGGTGGGGTGGGGTGATTGAAGCTGGGGTGATGGAACCAACAGCCAGCAGCCTGCCGCCTAGACACCAGCCATGCACTGATCAATGGCGCAATGCTGGGACGGCGGCACACATTGAGATGATGCCGCCATTGACGGGCCCGGCTCTCCTGGCCAGCCAGACCCGTCAACAAACGGATCGCCAGTAGCCACGCTATCAAAATATTTGCGGTCTGCTGCGACGAGAGCCGCGCATCTCCGGCCGCCGTTCCCCGTCCACGGCTGGTTTGAACACAGGCGAGCTGAAATAGCCTGCGGACCATTGTGGCGAGGGATCATGAGCCCGGTGTTGTTAGCTACACATTCCCAGACGGACTAACATAGACACAGGGTAAATACAAGTTGCAGTTTAATAAACACTGTCATCGTTTTGACGTGGAGCGTCGCTGTAGCTGACAATGCGGTCGGTGCAGAGGGCACATCAGGACTCCAGAATCGCAGCCCGTAACCAGCTACTTTGGACTGCGGCATGTTTTCTTGGAACACTTGTGTGCTGAGGTAAGATGTGCACGGAAAAGCACCGAGGTCATTTCCCACCCCGGTTGATAACGGGAAGTTGGAAGAGCCGCCGCACCAAAGCCGCAGCTCCGGCCCGTCGCTCGCAATCGCCTCGTTGAGGTGCGGGATTCCTGGAGCACCCGACGGGGGCAGTGTTTACGTCTGCGGCGTCGGTTGCACCGGCGCCGACGTCGACAGCCGGGCCGGTGTACACCGTGCATGACAGGCCGGTCGGTGCCAGCGGGGCCGAGCCGTCGTCACCTGCCGTGCGGCTGCCACGCTGTCTGGCAGACGCCGCCAGCGCCAGCTGAGCGATGCGACGACGAAGCCGGCGCAGGCCGGCGGCGAGAGGTCCAGCCCCCAGACGACCGCGCCCGTTCGTGATGCGGCCTACAGTGCCGCCCAGTTGCGATGGCTCTCAGCGCTGCGCCTCCGATGCCAGATGAGCACGGTGATGCGAATGGCAGGCGCCGAGACGGCTCGCTCATAGCGTGAGCAATCGCGCTGTTAGTCAGAAGAGACTCTGACGCGCAAGGGAAACAGCGATAATTCGACCCCATCCATTCAGGCGTGGTCCGGTGGGCTTTTCAAAACAAAGATGGTCACGGTTACAGCAGCCAAAACAGCAAACAATGACTGCAAAACTGAAATGTTAACCAACCAGGAAGCCATGGTCGCTGCTGCCGGGGTGATGAAATGCCCCCTTTATCACCCACTGGGTGTAAGCATGGACAAACGACCTGGACACAACCAGGCTAACCACAATATGGAGCTCTTCCGCGGTGAGGGTGCTTGCGTCAATTATGTCCTGCCTTTGACTGATATTAATATTGTTTTTAGCCTTGCGTATCAAAAAACTTTTAACTGGATAATCCAACTATCATTTTGGACCCGCTTGTACTATTTGATTGATCAACAAAGCCTGAAAAGGAGCATAAAGATCGATGAAATATATTTTCTTCGGCGTGAAAGCGTCACGAAGGTGGACTTCAGACACCCGTTTAAGCAAATTTCTATGCAACATCATACGACTCATGAATAAATTCATAACACGTGGGAAATCACGTCCCTTAGCCCCAGCTTTTTCGTGTTTGGGCAATTGTTACGGATGTCTCGGATCGAGTCGTGATTATCTAAGCATCTCGCCGAGAACCATATGACATATCACGTCCCGCATTACATCCGTTGGGAGTGCCTTGCTTTATTAGAAATCGTGCAGCATTGCTGAAACTGACTCCTTTTGGCCTGTCCTTCGAAAGATTGAGGGGAAGAAAACTTATCTTGCTAAAGGTGTAACCAAACAAGAGTCAGACTATTATGACGTAGTTAAATACCGGGTATCCTCGAAAAAATAAACAAGAACGTGGCAGCATGAAAAGGTAACTTATGCAGGTCCGGGAGACTTCGCAGAGCATTATGACACCAGAAGAGGCTCGAATCAGCAGTACCTGGCCATGTAGCCAGTTACAGTAAACGACGGAGATAGATGGGTGAGAAAGCTGGCTACATGAAAAAATGACGAAGCCGGCATCTAAAACGATTACTTCATAACTAAATAAGTGTGATGGCCTCGCTGCACATTGAAAAACTGGTTGAAAAAGAAAATGTATTGATATTTCTGCAACAAAACTTTGTAAACACAATAAATGGGCAGCAAATTCAAAATTCAAAAGTTTGGACATTGTTTTTTGAATCGAGGTTTTGAAATTTGACGTTATCGCGTATAATTACTTTGACAGAGGCTTGTAGTCGAAATATCGATACATCTCTCTTTTTCCGCAGGGCATTCAACGAGAGATAATGTCATTATAATCGTGTTATGTATTTGTAATGTTCTCGCAGCTGCACTGGGCTCAGATTCAGAGCTTTTGACCTAACAGTATGAAGATGAAAGATGATTGGTACAAAACCACTTGTAGGACTCACCCATAGCTGTAAATTCTTACGTTTTTTGACCATATCTCACCGTCGGAAGAACATAAATAGCACAACGAGAGCTTTTGGGCTTTTAAGGATGAAATTGTTCCATCACCATCCAAAAAACATGTTCAAAACCAGAAACAAAAACATAGTCCAAAATAATAAGTAAAAATAGGAAGTGACCAAAAACGCAGCCCACAAAAAGCACCACATTTAAATAAAGATGTCTTTGGAAAGGAATCACACGGTTATACTTGACATTCATATCAAGGCTTAGTTGACGCCAAATTTACTTGGTTTAATTCACTCAGTTTTGACGTGTGATATCTAAGCGCAGGCAAGAGTGTCAAACGTGTCCAGTTTTGCTTTGAACACGCTTGTTTTTTTTTCTCTCAACTCGGCGTGCGCACAAGGACGCGGGGGCTATGATCAAGTTGGGGGGGGGGGGGCAATTCCAAAATGCTACAAAAGACCGCGATAGATTAAAAAGCGGGCCTTTTACAAGCAGAACACTCCCATGCAGGTCAGAATGGACCCTTTACAGACCAGAATTCGCCCTCTACATACCAAAATGGGTCCTTTCCAGTCAATAATGGACACTCTTCAGGTCAGAATGTATCCGATAGAGTAAGGATGGACACTCCGCGGGACAAAATATGTCCTCCACAATCCATAATGGGCCCTCTACGGGTCAGAAAGACCCACTTGGCAATTAAGCTCAGAATGGGACTTGTACGTTGTCAGAATAGCTCTCATTAAGTCGGAATGAGTTTTTCACAGGATAGAATGGCCCTCATCAGGCTTGAATGAGCCCCTCTCCAAACTAGAATGAGCCCTCCATAGTCGATGATATGTCCTCTACACATCGAAGTGAGCCATCTACAGACCAAAATGAGCTCTCTTCGGGTCAGAATGGGCTCATTACAGATCGGAATGGGCCCCCTCTACGGACCAAAATGAACTCGCCACAGTTCAATGATGGGCTCTCTTCTGGTCAGAATCCCCTCAGAAGGGAGCTTGCAGTCGGCAATAGGCCTTCTGCAGGTCAGAATGGGCCCTTAGCAGGCGAGAATGGGCCCTCCACAGACCAAAATTGGCCCTCTACAGTTAATACTGGATCATCCACAGGTCATAATGAGCCCTCTTCAGGTCATAATGGTGCTTCACAGGCCGTCATGAACCTTCTTAAGACCGGAAGGAGCCTTTGATGTACCATGAGTAATGGGCAATCCACAGCTGATGCACCGTTAATCCAATACTCCACAGCTGATCGACAGTCAATCCAACAATCCACAGCTGATCCACAGTCAGTACAATAATCCACAGCTGATCCATAGTCAGTCCAACAATGCACAGTTGATCCACAGTCAATCCAACAATCCACAGTCTTTTTCAGGACAGGTCCACTAAGTGTGGGGGACTCCCTCCAGCATTTAAGTCAGGGAGGGGCGAGTTGCCTCCACTGCCCCCTCCCCCGTTCCCGCGTCATTGTACGTGTCTTATTTATGTCAAGTAATTGTGAATACGATTAAAGCAGGCAGTCACTGTTGGCATACCATTTGCTTTTTGTACCCGGTCCGCCGGATCAGGTAAATGGCTTTCCGGTATCAGTTGGCTTCAAAAAATGTCCAAGATTGGTGTTATGGTTTTATTATTATCTCATCAGTGAAATCTAGTGCGTCATGTAAATATATATATATATATATATATATATATATATATATATATATATATATATATATATATAAAACGCATGCAATGTAGCATGTCAACCAGCTTCTCATATAACTGTCCATAGGCGTGGAGATGAGAAAATGAAAAGGTCCACCCTTGCTGGTGGAGCTGTCTAATTCATTTCAAGCCCGTCTCATTTCCGTTTAAATTATGTCTCACAGTTTTTTCCGTTTTCTTCCAGCTATCACAAAGTTGTCTTTTACTACCACCCAATCAATCATTTTCTGTATACATCTCACCTCTACGCAACATACCTCATCTCTGTTCAACACTTCTCACGTTTTCAACACATTCCACCTCTGTTCAACACATCTCACCTCTGTCCAGCACCACATCCCATCCCTATATTGCACCGAATCCCGCCTCCATTCGCACCCCTGCCCTGCATCACATATCATCTTGTTACCTGCACCAGAATTAACGCCATTCTGTGCTCGGTCCCAGCGTCGTATCTTACCATTGTCCTATCACTACCTTTCGCCGCTGATATGTCACCAATATCTCCTCCGTCCGCCATCGCGTACCACCTTTGTCTCACACTGCACACTCACCCATGCACGTTTGCACTGCTCACTCCAGTACCATCACGACCGCTCGGCCCTGTCCCGCCATCCCATTTCATTCCCCCCCCCCTTCCCTCCCCCCCCCCATTGGAATCCCTCACCCTCCCGAACCACCCCATCTCACCCCTGATCCTATCAGCACCCCTCATTTGGCCCCTCAGCATCCTCACCTGGCCCACCAGCACCCCTCACCTGGCCCGTCAGAGCCCCTCACCTGTCCCATCAGCACCCCTCGCCTGGCCCACCAGCAGTCCTCCCCTGTCCCATCAGTACCCCTCACCTGGCCCACCAGCATCCCTCACCCTGCCCCATCAGCACCGCTCACCTGGCCCATCAGCACCGCTCACCTTCCCCATCAGCACCCCTTACCTGCCCCATCAGCGCCCCACACCTGGCCCACAAGCACCCCTCACCTGGCCCATCAGCACCCCTCACCTGGCCCACCAGCAGTCCTCCCCTGTCCCATCAGTACCCCTCACCTAGCCCACCAGCATTCCTCACCCTGCCCCATCAGCACCGCTCACCTGGCCCATCAGCACCCCTCACCTTCCCCATCAGCACCCCTTACCTGGCCCATCAGCACCCCACACCTGGCCCACAAGCACCCTTCACCTGGCCCATCAGCACCCCTCACCTGGCCCACCAGGATTCCTCACCCTGCCCCATCAGCACCGTTCACCTGGGCCATCATCACCCCTCACCCTCCCCATCAGCACCCCACACCTTCCCCATCAGCACCCCTCACCTTCCCCATCAACACCCCACACCTTCCCCATCAGCACCCCTCACCTTCCCAATCAGCACCGCTCATCTTCCCCATCAGCACCCCTCACCTGCCCCATCTCCACCCCTCACCTCTGTCGCGGCGCCACTCTCTCATGACGCGCTCGGCGGCGCCGGCGGGCCGGAGCAGCACCGCCAGCAGGACGCACGCGAGCAGGCACCGGACCTCCATCGGGGGCGGCTCTGGCGCTGGCACGGACGCCGTCGGGGCTGGCGGCGCACTGAGCACCGGGCTGCCGGGGCACCGGCCCAGACCCGGACTGGGCCAGCCGACGGCGTCCCCTCCCCCTCCCCTCCCCTGCCCCGCTCCCCCAGTTGGGACGTCGAGACCGCTGTCTGGGCGCCGCCGGCAGCCCACGTCATGCTGCGCGAAGTCTGGCCGGTGTACACTGGCACGTCTCAGACATGTGCAAGGCGTGGACGGCTAACATGCAGTCGTCAGGCTAGCTCGAAAGCGAACGTCAACAGAAGTCAGACAACAACAGTTTGGAGGGATCTCTCCGTGCTGTTTTTTTTTTTTCACGACGCGGCCCCGTGCCAATGCGAACGAAGCTAGACAGCTTAATTTGCTAGTTGCAAATTGATCTGTCAGGTGAAATCTGGATGCCCGTTCAGGGGTCCAGGCATGTTCGCCTGTCACTTGCCATGTTCCTACCCATCAGCGTTCAAGGGGCATGGACATGGTGACCTCTGACCTAGGCATCTGCCGTGAATACGTTGTTATATAACCAAAGCACTTTGCGGGACTACGGGACGTTCTCAGCTTACGAATATGGTCATTTGATAGGCATTTCGATCAGCTGCTTATGATATGAGGAAGTAGACTCTTGTCATACAAACAGCCCCGAACGGAAGTCTAATCTCGGGGCTCACACAGATGCACTATTGCGCCTGAAATGACCAGACCAGAAGTCACTCGTCAGCGCTTTACCTCATAAACTTTGCATTTGTTGAAATCCGTCATTCTGGAGCAAACTCAATTGCTTTTTTGGTACGCTGCATTTCGGTTGATATCTGGCGCGACCGCCGGCCAGCCATGGAAGCCTGGAACCTGCCTGGTGTGCGGGCTTTGTCTGTCAGTGATTATGGCGATGCTCGCAGTGCAGGATAATGTGTTCTTGGCCTTGATGTTCGTGAGCTGTCGTCCGGGCATGCTTCTCCGTAACTGCGTCGAAGTTTGACATACCGAAGTACAGTCAACATTTTCCCCTTTGATTTATGCTCACATGTTAATACCGGCAGCCAGCAAAGCAAATTTATGTGACAGAAACTGGATTTCGATGGAGATTTAATATGATTTCAGGGAATTTCAACACTGCAGTTGGTTTACAATGCGGTGATTCATGTGAAAATAAAATACTAGATAGCCATCGATGACATTTTGTTCTTTACCCACCTACCCAATGATGACTGATTTCATTGGTGACTATCAAAACAAGATTATTTTACGAAAAGAGCGACTGAAAAGGAAACTATCACAGTACATAGAGTCAGGGAGCGAGATGGCACTGGAGATGAGTGAAATTTAGGATCATCCGTAGAGCCAAGCAGGGCCATATTCATATAGCGGCCCAGAAGGCTCGTGCCTCTCCTTTTACCCCAATCCATTAAATGTATTATTATACGAATGACTAGATGTTGACAGTTAAACGTTTCCGGCATGTACAGAGGAGAAAATGAAAAATATTCGATGGCATAAGTCTGACACGGAATTTGCACACCTGAGGCACACTTAAGTTGTTTTTTGGTGACATTGTTTTTAGCTGCACCCCTCCCCCCCCCTTCCATTGCTAAGCTTTGTGTCCATCATTTTAAAAGAGTAAGTCATTTTATAGTGCGGCAGAAACTAATATTAAGATTGGTGTTGCTAAGAAAGTTATCACAAGATGTAGATCAAATACCCAAACAAAAACACGACAATCATTAACTTAAAAGAGCTCCCTCCATATTTGAAGATGTTGAAGCAAGCATCAGATATGGTGAAATAAGCTCACGCAATTGTTGGAATACTTTTATCTGGAACAGACTACTCTAGATACCGCGATCTCCTTTATTGGGAAAAATGGTGCCCAATACGTCCTTGTTTGATTGCATCACCGTGTCCTGCACAACATTGATTGAGACACAATGGGCAGCCGTTATATCTGAAAATGGCACTTACGAACACCGGATGCGAACGGCTCGACGATCATACTTTCTCTATCTTGATTGCCGCATGGTCGGTGTATTACATGATTTGTGTGAGGCTATCATGATGTCATAGATTACTGCATGACCTTGAAATAGTATGCATGAAGTAGTCTGCACATATTTTGCACGAAATAAACGAAATAATATCGAAACGAAGCATTATCTGCACGAAATATTCCGCACACATTGTATGAGGTTATCATGACGTCATAGAATGTCTGGATGACATTGAGGCAGTCTGCAGGATATATATATATATATATATATATATATATATATATATATATATATATAGATATATATACATATATATAGTCTGCACATATTTGCAGGCATGTTGCTCAGAAACTAAAGAGGTTTAGGTATTAAAAGGGCAGGGCCATGAACTGCAACGAATCATCTTCAAAACGGCTATTTCAGTTCAGAACCTCATACAAATGTGAAACACTCCCTTTAACAGCCGACGACCGAGAGGTCGGGTCAGGTCAGGGGGGTCGCGGGCAGCCAGGCGGCTGGGGACGGGTGTGCCTGGCGCCCAGACACCACAGACGCTGGTCGGTGTGGGCTGTAACCCGGCTTCAGTCACCCCGGGCCGGGCCACAGCCGGAGGTCTCCCATGTCCGGGCTGCTGACAGCAGATCCAGGCCCTGGTGCTGATCCTGTGTCGAGGATCTGATGTCAGGTCCAGCAGTTGATCTGTGTCAGGAGACCAGCAGGTGACCGCTGGAGATGTGTTGCAGGTCGAGCGTTGAGGATTATGGCGCAACGGCGGCCATGTTTGTGGCAAGGTTATCTTGCGGTTTCGAAATTTCGTGATTGTGATTAGTAGGCTTTTAGTAAGCGTAATGGGCGGCAAGGAAATGTTCGCTGATATATTTGAGCAAATCTGTTTATCAGCTTCGAAGGGGCGAGAAAGAGCCTCACATCCGGCCGTTCAAGATGAGGCCAGACACGGTTGATGTCCTTGTCACCTCCATTTACGTGTTCTAGGGCCGGCCATAATTCATGTTTTACAACAGAACTTGATTCATAGACTGAACTTATCATGTTATTTGGGTCGCCAGAACCACACCTGGTGGCACGTGACTGAAAAGGGTGTGCTCAATAAACCGATCAAATAAAGTAATCACGCGTTGCAAGGCGAAGTTTCGAAACATTTCTTTTATGGTGCGTGACCCATTCAGCACACAAATGCAATCTCAGACCTAATACCTGGACATCCAAAGCGGCGCGGGTCCATACCCTTTTGACGCGATGCCATGACAGGAGATTAATAGCCGTTCCTCGTACAGTCATAGCCGGGATTTTCTCAGACCCTGCCCTGCCTCGCCCGGGTCCCCGTGCGGCGATTCATGGCCAGGTAACCCCACCTCCCATCAGATGCGACTCACGTATGAACGTCGTCGCGGCCCTTACTGGACCGAGTCGCGACAAGCGGCGCTGGTGCAGCGGGCTCACACGACACGGCGAGGCGTAGGCGTGTGACCGTCAGTGGCTTTAGACGCTCATCAGCCGCAGACGAGGTGTAGGGTGCTTATGAATGAGCTGCAGCCTTCAGTCGCGTTGTAGACCAGCCAGTCATGTTCTAGGTCAGGTCACCGGTGACCGGTCACATGGTCTGGGTCAAGTCACCGGTGACCGGTTACATGTTCTGGGTCAGGTCACCGGTGACCGGCCACATGTTCTGGGTCAGGTCACCGGCGACCGGTCACATGGTCTGGGTCAAGTCACCGGTGACCGGTCACATGGTCTGGGTCAAGTCACCGGTGACCGGTCACATGCTCTGGGTCAGGTCACTGGGGCCCGGTCAGATTTTCGGGGTCACCATTTTGGTCACTGTTGTGCGTCTTGAAAGGAACCACTGTATCAAGTGCTGATGGAAAGAAATAAGATAGGCCTATTTATTTTACAATAGATGAATGAATACGGAAATAATTCCTACCCAGATCGGTACAGCAGGCTTCCCTTTGGCACGCATCCCCCCCCCCCCCCCCCACATCCTGCCGTGACTACGGGACATCCTGCCCCGTAGTGACGGCGTTTGAAGTGGGCAGTTCAGCGACGTTCACCCCAAAAACGGCCGCGTCGGATGCTACTCTGGTAATTGGAGCAAGTCTGCTAATAGATCCTTCAACAAGCTGGGAGACTCCTGGCGCGCACTGCATGACCGCCGCACTACAGTACTCTTGGCACGCACTGCATGACCACTGCACTACCGTACTCTTGGCACTCACTGCATGACCACTGCACTACCGTACTCTTTACCGTACTCTTGGCGCGCGCTGCATGACCACTGCACTGCCGTACTCTTGGCACGCACTACATGACCGCTGCACTACCGCACTCTTGACGCGCACTGCATGACCGCTGCACTACCGTACTCTTGGCACGCACTGCATGACCACCGCACTATCGTACTCTTGGCGCGCGCTGCACGACCACTGCACTACCGTACTCTTGGCACGCACTACATGACCGCTGCACTACCGCACTCTTGACGCGCACTGCATGACCACTGCACTACCGTGCTCTTGGCACTCACTGCATGACCACTGCACTACCGTACTCTTTACCGTACTCTTGGCTCGCACTGCACGACCACTGCACCTACCGTACTCTTGGCACGCACTACATGACCGCTGCACTACCGTACTCTTGAGGCGCACCGCATGACCGCTGCACTACCGTACTCTTGGCGCGCACTGCATGACCACTGCACTACCGTACTCTTGGCACGCACTGCATGACCATTGCACCACCGTGTGATGACCGCATCGTAGGACCGTGCACTGTGAACAGCACTGAAGGGATGGTGAAATATACATTTATAACGACCTGGTCTCGAGGGCGGATATTCCTGACCAGGGCCGGCGGTACCGACTTTCTCAAGGGGGAAGGGAAAGCAGATCTAGGGGCCTCCTAAGCAGATCTGGGGTCCCCTGTCAAACTCCCTGTTGCCTATTCTGCTTGATTGTCGTCTCTACTTCTCTGAAAGAACCCCTTA